TGTCAATCAAATATATAAAACTCAAAGCAATTCGGCCAAGTGTGCGGACATTCTGATTCTTTAGCGCGTTAGTAAAGATTTTTCCCACACCTTGTGGAGGTTTTACTGTATCTTCACAATTTCCTAGCTATGAATTCTTACAGCTAAGTACATAAATTTGAATTCTTCTCCAATGAAACTTGATAATAAAAAAATCCTAGTTATGGAAATCAAAATGGGTTTTACACATGTATCATACAAAAGTATCAGAATAATTCATTTAGAGCTATATAAATAGGAGATGAAAAAGAATGAAGGAAAAGAAAAGTCTCAGTTTACCTACATGTAAACTACTCAGTTCCGCGTCTGTGTTGACAAAGTTGACTGTGCAGGAAAAAGAAATACAGAAAATTCTCTCTTGGAGTCGCGTTTTCTCTGTTGAGAGAACGATTTTACAGTCTTCGAATCTGTGTCTTACAAAGATAAGAAAGATTGCAATTTAAAGAAACCAATAACATTCCTACTTTGGGTGAATTAGTTTTTTATTCAAAACTTAAACAAATTTTATCCAACTTGATAACACGAAAATAGCTGCAACAGAAATATTAGCTATGCATCAGCCAATCACAAGCCGATGGAAATGGAAAGTGGCTAGTTGTTGTATCATAGTGTCCTTCTTACATTGAAATTCTTACGAAGTTATTTGATGAAAAGTAATTTAAAGATATACATCATCAAATTTCCTTCATGGATTTAAAAAAAAAAAAAAAAAAAAAAAAAAAAGAAAGAAGAAGAAGAAGATTAGTGTAAGAAGGGAATCAACTTCAAATCCTTGCCCTCTGCACCAATCAAGAGGTGTAAAGCCCAGAATTGAAGTTGGGGCAATTTGTTGACACTAAAAAATTCACATGATGGTTCATGCTATAATTTGGGCTTGTCATCATTTTTATCCCACTTTGAAACATGGGCCAGTTACCCAAACAACCTAAGCCCATTACCAAATATGGGTCATGGGTCAATTTAAATGACTCAATTGACCCAACCCACTTTAATGAGCCAATTTCAAATTGCTAACTAACCAAGCCCACTTGGACATTAGGTAAGTTAAATAAAGTTATAATTATTCTTAAGATATATAGATATATATATATATTTGAGGATAATTATCACTTAGGATAATTATCCAAAGTGACTCAAATGACTTTTTTGTCCCTTCATGAAGTCTATAAATAGAAGCGAGGGGGAAGGAAAGGGGGATCCGAAGAGAAAAAGAAAACTCTACCGAATTCTACACCCATTCACCACTTAAAGCTTTGAAGACTCAACACTTTGAATACAAAGGATTATAAGTACGCTCTACAAGTGCCGGCCCTATTTAAAGTCTTTCATTCAACCGTTTGAGATTAAGCTTCCACGGATCTCAATTGGAAATCAATCCAAGTTTTCTTCATTTCTCGGAGATTTGAAGAAAGTTCGTTGCAGCCGATTCAATATCAAATATTGAAGCATTTGCACCGAATATTTAGGAGATCGAATCAGAAGACATTCTTTCTTTGTAAAGAATGTTACAGAGAATTGTACCCGCTTATCAAATATTAATAAAATTGATTATTTGATCCTTATTTTGTTCTTTATTTTACAGATACAAAATTTGTGTGTACAACGGTGTCCATTGTTATCCAAGTCACTGCAACTAATAACAGCCTCACTCGCAATAGCAGCTAAAAACTCCTCCTGGAAAAGCTGAAATATTGCCTTGGTGTACACCTTCCCCGCTTGACGTAACATGTGGCAATTTGTTTTTAGTTGTGGTTGCCTCTCCAGTAAGCCATGCTCGACTTCAATCCTTATATCGCTTGTCCGACAACAATATGTCAAAGTGTGTGAAGAATTCTGGTAGAATAAGTTGTCTGGAAAGGTAATACTTCAATTGATCATTGAAACTTTCACTCAGTTGCGTGCTACTCATTCTTGCAGACCAGTCGTGTTTGACAAATGCCAGGGCCCATTTATGTTTCAATTCTAACAAAGTGGAAAGCACCTTATTACCAATAACACCATACTCTGCAATCATTAAATCCCATTCCCTGATAAAATCATCCTTCTCCTCAACTTGGATTAATTTTGAGATGACCTTTTTTATTCCTTCAACGTGTTTAAACAGAAATAGTAGGTTCTTCTACGCATTATTCAATAAGTGCCAAACATATAAATGATGCTTCGTCACCGGCATGACCTGCAAGATTAAATAACTTAATACCCGTGTTGCAATATTGTAATTACAAAAAATACGACTGAAATAATACGATTTTTTCAACATACCAAGTGACAAAAATGGAGATGCAAGAAAGTTATACACCTGCTTTAATGCCTTCACCATTGCAACGTCTTGATCTGTAATAATCGTCTTTGACATTTTTCTACCCATCGCTTTTAAGAACATTTCAAATAACCAGACAAACAAATCCGCTGTTTCATCATACATTAAGGCTGCTCCAAATATAGCGGTCTCCCGGTGATGATTCATACCCAAGAAAATTGCAAATGGTCTGTTACCGTATACGACTTTGTACGTTGTGTCGAAACTGATAACATCTCCAAAATGGCCATAATCAATGATCATTCTAGAATCTGACCAGAATATGTTTGTAATCATTTGCTCAGTATCCAGTTGCAATGAATAGAAGAACGAAGGATCTTCACAACCACGCGTCTCAAAATAATCCACAAGCTATGCTGCCTCTCCATAAAGAAGCTCATTTTGTCTTCGCGTCCTTAGATAATTTTTAAGATCCACTTTCAAGACCCAACTGATTCTTTGCCACCAAATTGCCTTCCTATCAACTCATATGCATTATAAGTCGGAACTCCTGAATCCGAAGCCAACTCAACATCAATGGCCTGGACTGAGGAAATTCGTCACTGGGATGGCATAATGTGGCTACATTCAGCAATTATGAATGGATGGTTGTGACTTTCTACAAATTTAGAAACTAAATACTTTGCCTTTGTCTTGTCATATCTAAGAACCATTCGTGCACCGCAATTGGTTCGTGTTTCAGCCCAGGGAGTCTTTCTAAATACATCCCGTTTGTCAGTCCCCTTTACACCTTTCTTGCTATAAACTAACGCCCTTGATGTAATTCTTCCATTAACTTTATTGCCATACTCCTTTCGGATGCTAAAACCAATTCGAGCATCATATACATTGTAAAAATCATATGCTTCTTCCTCACTATCAAACTCCATTTTATACCTTGGTTTCCATTTAATCACTTCCGGTTCTACAACAGAAACGTTTCGTCTGTTTGTTGTGTTTTGAATATTATTTACTTCACCTTCCATCTGAACGGCTTAAATACAATACATTTTCTCACATATGCATAAAATATTGAATTAACAAAAAAAATTATTGAATGAACAAAAAATTAATTTACTTCTACATCCCAAGCAAAATTCCCATCTCAACGGCTCAAATACAAAACCTTTTCACATGTATGATCTAATCAAATAAAAAACCCTTTTCACATGTATGACCAATTAAATTTGACATATATTTCATTCATTTCTTTACATGTATCAATCAAGTATATCCCAGACAAACGAGGATAAAAATTCTCTATGCCACAACAGAACATATATGTCTAACCAACTGATGCTAATTTGACATACACTTTATGAAAATGTTAGGATTCATATTACGCAAAAATTGGGATTTAAGTTACAAAACAGTTGGGATTCACTTTACGAAATAGTTGGAACTCACCTTAGGAAAAGTTTGGGATGCACCTTTCAAAAAGTTGGGATGTATATTACGATAAATTTGGGATGCATAATAGGAAAATGTTGGGATACACTTTACAAATACTTTGGGATTTATATTACGAAAATGTTAGGACGTGCCTCAGGAAAATGTTATGACTCACTTTAAAAAGATATTAGAATGTAGATGAGGAAGATTTTGGGATGCTTATTAGGAAAAACTTGGGATGCAACTTACGAAAACGTTGCGATGCAAGCCCAAGGACCAAATATTTTCTTAACATTCTAACACTCTGAAACACTCTTTTTCGGCCACTCATGTACTCTACAAATCCTCTCATTTTTTCTCCTCACAAACAAACATTCAAATCCCATCAATTCAAATTCACCATTAATTTTCTATTTCTGGGTTTCTTACCAAAAATATGTCTATATATTCTTACTAATTATATTTATTTATGCAATTCAGTTGTTATGGAAATAAGACGATTTCCTTCAAAATGAAATCTGAAAATTATGAATCGTGCCCACTTAGGGTTGGAAATAAGGCGATCTCCTACTTCGATTTGATCTCCAGCGATCTCCTGCTTCGATTTGCTGCTTCTTTGTGGAAGGAAATCAAAATCTACAATTTTATTGGGACTGACAGAAGCGCTGCTTCTATTTGGAAACAATTTGTAGCATCCAAATTTTGGGTTGATTCATACAACAATCGCTGCTTCTGACTTCTATTTGGAAAGAAATAAATTTCTAAAATGGCTTCATTCATATTTTAGGAGAGAAGAAGGCTATAGTAGCGGGATTTGATTTCTATTTCAATTGGATTGCTGAAATGAGGGAGGGAAGAGGAAGAAGAAATAAGAGAGGGAATAAAAAGGCTATATATATATATATACACACGAAAATTCTGTATTGGGAAATTTTTTTTTTTTTTACCAAACAAGGTAAACATTGTTCATTGACCCAAAATGGAGCAAATGGATCGCTGTTGGACTGGTTGTGATCCTGGTCTACATATATACTACCTATTTTACCCCTTCTCACCAAACAAATGTTATATATATAGTGCATGGATATATTTATCAGCTAAAACCACATTCAATTCAATTTGGGTTAAATCATTGGTGCGTCAGGATTCTAGAATGCGACCAAGAACACCACCCCTAACCCTACGCATGCAAATTAATTTCACAATTAACTGAAATTATCATTTAATTATATATATATATATATGTATGTATAGATACTGTCCAGCTTAATTACTAGAACTGTCATTTATTTAAAGATGTAGATAAACATTTTTTCAGAAGCAATCCCATAACCTTACATTTAAAGAGCTAGCTAGCATATAGTCACTGATAAACTAAACTAGCAGGTTACAGTAGTAGTAATAATCCTATATATATATAGTAGTTATGGCGTAAGTTTTATTGTTTTAAGGTACCCTAATAATAAAATTAGGCTGCAGATGGGGCAGTTATGAAGTGATCAACAACATCAGCCTCAATAACTGCTGAAACCATGACATCATCCTTTGTGCTGCTCTTGTAATCCAATGACTTGTCATTATATATTTCCCACCATTTCTCCACAACCATCTTTATATCTTCTCTCTGCATGTTCTCTTCCTCCCCAGTGAACCTCCATGGCTTTGCACCCTACAAATTAATTAATATTATTAAAAAACAACTCCTCATGCATGATTGTGTGTGTGTGTGTGTGTGTGTGTGTGTGTCATACATTAACAAAACTCAAGATTATAGTATAATATAATAAATTTTAAACCCAAATTAATTACTCTAATTAGTAATTAATTCATCTATATATATAATAGAATAAAATAAAGTTTGCCATAGATATATATATAATGGTAACTCACTGCAGCACAGTAGTGAACGACTTTCACTTGGTCAAGATTAATGTTTTCAGGGTGTCGCCACAACATTGCCAAAACAAGATTGTACACCGGAGAAATAGGGCGGTAGGTATCCCTAAAGAACATGTTCAATAAGTCCTGAATCATGCCCAAAACAATTAATTAATTGCCAAACTAAGTCAACAAACTTTAATTTGGTGTGTGCATTATATATATATGTATATATATATATATATATATATATATGTATATATATTAACGTGTGTGCATGTGTAAGCTACTAATTAAGGTTGTAATTTAATTAATCATCTACTAAATTAATTAGATCGATGGCTTGAAAATTAAGGTTAATAAAGTTCGTTTTTGTTGAAAATTAATTAATTACCTGCTCAGCAAATGAAGTAGGAGGGGTGAGGTTGAGGGTGTCCAAGAGATGATTGTAAGTTGAGAGGTTTGGTTCAAAGACGAACATGCCAGCATTGAAGTAGAGAGGTGGAGGAGGTCCCAAGCACTCCGTTGGCCACTGGACCTTATCGGGGCATTGTTGACAGTAGCCAAGCTTGAATTGAGGGGTGTCACTCCATGTTTTCTCACAGAAACAATCCATAACAGCATACAAGTAACCATCCGGATTGTCAAAGAGGTGATCAATGTTACCAAAAACTTGTATATCTCCATCCAAGTAGATCATCTTGCTATACTCCACAAACTGCATATATGCAATAATGATATATATATCGCTAGTAATTAAATCTAATTATACATAATTTTGTCAAAAAATGTATATAATTATATATATATAGATACATATATATTTGCAACACACATGTAAGGAATTAAGAAGGATATATAAAATGTGATATATATATATATATATATATGTACCTCCCAAATACGAAGTTTTGAGTAGTTGATAATGTAATAAGCCATGGCAAACTGCGTTTGATTCTCCGGTGGGTACACCGGCTGGATCTCCCGAACGATACATCCCTGAGAGAGAAGGATGTCACGGTGCTCCTCCGGCACGTCAGGCAAAACTGCCACCACAAGTGGATGCTCACTATTCACCTTCCTTAACCCCTTGGCTAAGCCCACAACCCCTTTCACATAGTCTCCTTTTCCAGCCAAGAAAGTGACATAAGCCCTATTCTTTTTGGTTATGTTCATGATAGTATCATTAGTAGTAACACTTGACATTATGCTATAGCTAGCTAGAAAAAAGAAAAGGTTGTTATTGATGATGATCAGAAGAAGATGAAGAAGATGTATTGTTTATGTCATGATTGAAGGCAATCTACCAACCTTTATATATGCAAGCTATGGAGTTGATTGCAAAAAAATGTAAGAAATGTGTTATGGAAAGTGACAAGGAATAAAGGCAGGAACGTATAAATTCTGGGAAAGTGAATATATGAAAAAGGTATTTGAAAGAATGATTTTGAATATTCCTCTTTCTTTTATGCTTAATTGGGGTTAAGATTAAAAGTTTTTGGGAGAATAAATCTTCACTAATTTGCAACTAAATTATTTATTATTTGGTATATCTAATACCCAAAAAAATTAAAATTAAAATTAAAAATAAAACCATTCATAAGGTTTTGAAAATCTATATATAATTTTGGGCTTTTTACCATGTGATAATATAAAGAAAAAAATAAAGTAAAAATAAAAAAGGTTTGAATTAAGTGGCACTAATGCAATATTACTTAGTAATAGTAATTAAGTATGTGTCATATAGGGAGGGGAGACATATTCACACTCCCCTTTCTATGTTTACACAATCATTTTAAAAGAAATACACTTTTAAATTTAATTTTACAAGTGAATAATTATTTTTTTTCACAAATTACATAACTACTACCATTTCATAATCTTTTGGTCTTCCTTCTCAACAGGAAGGAAAAAAAAAAAAAAAACTCCAAAAAAAAATTCTCTGTTAAATAAATTTTCTCTTCTGAGAGGACCTAAATATATATATATATATATTAGTGTTAAATAAATTGTCCCTTTTGAGAGGACCCAAAAAATAATAAATAAATAAATACCAAAACAAAAAAAAAGGAGTGCAATCATAGAAAAGGGAGTTGCCTCCTAGTGATAATCACAACACTGATCTAATCGGATGATTAAATGTATGGTAGCTGTTTTTTGTTTAGTTGTGACAAATTGAAAAACAGAAAATCCAAAAACAATATTGGTTGATTAAAAACCAAGAGGATAATAATGGTTCATAACGGTGGCATAAACAATACATGTTATTATGATACATATTGCATGTGCATGATCCTGAAAAATCAACTTAACAATTCTTTATAAAATTGGACAGTTTCGTATGATGTGGGCGATGGTGGTGATGGTGAAGATCATAATCATCACAGTTCCTGTGACACGTTTAGAATCAAGTTTTGGAACTATATATGTATGCGTATGTATTCATTTGAAAAATTGACACATGGAAAATGAAAATACTTTGTAATAGGAAAGTCCTTTTCAGATCATTCTTGATTGCAATGAAAATTTAGATACGGATATGCCTGTCAATTTCGTGCGAACAAGTGTATCTAATGGCTCAAATAATTGGAGTCTGGATACACGATATATATATATATATATATATATGTGATGAGCTTTTTGGAAAGGTAGATGTTGTAAACTGAGAAAGGACCAAGGAGGAGGGTAGGTTTATCTGTTTAAGTTGATGAAGAAGACTGTTGGAGTGCTTGTAAGTATATTTTGCTTTCTTACGGTATGATGATTGAGTATTTGATGTTGATGGCAAGAATGTACAAAAAGAAAAAGATCATCTACTTGTACAAAGTTATATACTTTAATTGCATATTTTGACACGTATATAATCACACGTCCTGGAAGTTTTATAGTGGGATAAATTAATTTGATTCCAATATAGAGTTCGAGAGTTCGACATATCCAGCTAAAATTATGTAATAAGAAATAACATCATCATATCCTAATGATACATGTCATCCCCCACTCATCAACTTTTCGATTATGTATTCTTATTCTTTTATGTGTATAGAGTTAAAATAAAAAAAATAATAATAAAAAAAAGAGGATGATGTCTGCCTACTCATATAAATCAGTCCTGGTTGTTCAACTTTTAGACTCCAACTCATTACCCTTCCTCTAAAAACACTTTTTATATACTAGCAAATATGCACTTGCAATTGCACATAAATGAAAATCTTTGCAGAAAATTATATTTTTATTAATACAAATAATAAATAAAAACCAAATGACATGAATAAAATAATTATTAAATATATTAAAAATAGAGAGAGAAAAAAAATTTCTAATATTTGGTAAGATATGAAACACTTCATTAAAAAATTAAACATTTAAAATGCATTTTAGTTAATTTCACCAAGCATATTTTTAATATAAGTAAAACTGAATTAATTATAATTTTTTAGAGACATTTCATAAATTGATTTGATTTATATATTTCACGATGGATTATGAGAAAAGAAAATAAAAAAATAGTGAATATAAATGAACTTATAAATTCAAGTTAAATATATTGTAATACAGTAGTAGAAGTAGAACCAGTTTCCGATATAGAACTGGAATTGGGACCTGCACATTTTTATTGATATCACAAAATTGTTTTAAATTGTGCTGGTTGATAGCGAATTATAACCAACATTGCATCCTAAATTCCAATCAACATCGAAGGGCTAGGGCTAGTAGACTTGTTTCCACCAATTTTATTTTAGAAATAATGTGGATATATTATTGTAAAAAATAAAATAATAATAAATAGTAGTATTACAATTCAAAGATTACAAAAGAGGTACAACGAAATGTTTACCTTGCATTGCATTGAGATCTAATGAAAATTTTAGGATCAACACCATCTGAACTCTGTCTGCATTGGCCTAACAATTAACAATTTTAGAATTTTCATTACGAAGATCGAATCTCTCATTAAGAAAAATAAAATTTAAGCAACAATACAAAATGATAAAGAAACTAAAAAAAAACACATGATCCATCCAATTGTATTTGAATGATCTACCATTTGGAAGGCTCATTGCTTCTCTTAAAAGTTATTCTTTCTCTGCCATAAGTCTTGGCTTCGTTGGAATGCACTTCAATCAACACCCAATTTGATCAGTTCAGATTTCATTTCTTTTCTTTTCTAAAACTTGAATTATTACATCTTATAATATAGCATTTTTTTTTTTAAACGTTTGTCTTTTGGAGTGTTCCACCCACAAAAAGAAAACATTTAAGAATACAATTAGTATATAATTTGTAACCCACATTTGTGTCCTGTAGGGTGGTCTTTACCAAAAATGTATAGATATATACAATTAGTAATAACCACAAAAAGAAAACTTTAATTGTTTCTTATATAATATAGCAACTTTTTTATTTTTTTTTTTTAAAAAAACGTGTGTCCTTTGGAGTGTATCCCATAAAAAGAAATCTTTTGAACAATAAATTATTATATAGTAATCAAAATTATTTATTATTAATAACTCTTCCCCAAAAGAAAATACGTACAATTAGTAATAACCAACTTCACATCTTTATTATAATATAGCAAATTTTTTTATAAAAATATATATATAATTATGTATATACGTACAATTAGAAATAACCACAAAAAGAAAACTTCAATTCTTTCTTATAAAATAGCAATTTAAAGAAAGGAAAAAAAAAAAAAAAAAAAAAAAAAAAACCATTGGCTCCTTTGAAGTATTCCCCAGAAAAGGAAACGATGTAGAATAAATGATTATATATGTTGTCTTTACCAAAAGAAAAAACGTATAGGTATACATACAATTAGTAATTGTTGACGCTAAAAATCGGCCTGCTAGAGCTGATCTTAAATTGATATATGGCGTGTTAGAACCAATTGTATGATTTGATTGTAATTGGTCAACTATAGTCTCTTTGGAGGGTTGACTTTCAAACTATGCGAGGATAAAGAGAACAGTGATACTCTTCTTAGAGTTCAAGAATTGTCTTAGCTAAAAGGACTTTTTATTGAATAAATTATAGTAATGTTTAAAGAATAGAAAAAGGGAGAAACAGATATAGAAAGAATATATAGGAAGAAAGATTGAGAAAGAAAGAGAGAGAAATAGATAGAGCGAGAGATTAAGAGAGAGAGAGTTAGAGACAAAGAAGAAATAGCAAGGATGCTATTCTAAGAAAGGCTTGAGAAAGCAATAAATAAATTAAAGGATTCTGAGGGTGCTGGACCTCTAGCACAGCATGCCCCTTTGTTTATTTATAGTATAAACTATAAAACAATTTCCTAAATACAAGCATTCCAATTGTATTGTAACTCTATAATACAACTAAAAAATTATTCAACTAAATACAAATAAAGGATAAATACTACGTATAATCCTTATCTATCATATTTAAATTCAAAACTATTCCATCCGATCAGTAATGCTCTTGTGCGATCCAATCAGTAACGTCCTTGTGTAAAATCTGCCACGTCTTTGCTTCTTCTCTTGGAGTCTACTTAAACCATATACCGAACCCAACCTCTTTCAGCCCAATCTCTTACCATATCATTGCATTATAGTTATCCTAATCATTTTCCCAGTTCACTGTTCAGTCCAAGTAGACTTAAAATAACTCATAGCCCAAACTCATTACTGCATACCTTCAACCCAATATCTTCTTAGCCTAAACTTCTACTGTATCACTGTTCATCAAGCTCAGTTAGAGTTCAAACCCAATTACCAAAATGGGTGTCAACAATGCCCCCTAATTTTGGTAGCCGTTTTAACCATTCGGCTTCCAAAATTCAAATACATCCATTGCATCATAACTTTGCATACACCCTATAATCCCTTGAATTGTATCTTGATTCACTTCCCTAAAAAATGTCGATCATGCTAACCCGTTTTATCACTCATTAATTATCGCAGTAATCCATTTAATTTTCCAACCACACACGGCTCTTCCATTAAAACACCTTCATCTTTCAAACTCTTCATTAACATACTTCTTTCTTCTCCAAATTTCTCTTAATTGAACCCTTTCTGTAATCATGGCTTCAAAGAATCCAAAACCAAATTCAGATTTGAACCTAGAGACTCCGTTTCCAGAACCAACTTCATATACCCAAATGACGAAATCAGTTGTCAAAACCCTAGACACCACAGAAATTGTAACTTCAACCCTAATCAACATTACAAACAACGCTAAGGGGCTTGGCCCAACGTTTAGCAACTGATTGCCCTCACCCCTTTCATCGTTCTACCCTCAAGCTGAAAAACAACTTCCATTTGCAAAACCAATATATC